AAAAAAAAAAAAAAAAAAAAAGTATTAAGAGACTGGGCAGATCAAATAGAAACACTGGCTGTGGGTAAGCAGTGAGTCATAATCACACAGAGAGCATAACATAGGAAAGGTGAGCTTTCAATGCAAGTGAGGAGGGGTGAGAGTTAGACACATCAAATACGCCAAGTGTGGTAATGATGACATGGCAGAGGCTGCTGGATGTCTCCTAATATCTGTTTTTCCCTTCCATAATAATAGGACCCATGATTTTTAGCCAGGCACATGGTTGCCTAGAAGATATTTCCCAGTCCCCATTGCAGCTAGTTAAAGATGTGTCACCAGGCTGTAGCCAGTAGATATATGTAGAAGTGATGTGTTCAACTTTCAGATTGCACCTTTAAAGAGAAAGGGTGGGCTTTGCTTCCAACTGGCTAGAATGTGGATGTGGTTGGCTAGTCAAGTTGGGCCATGAGGATAAATGCAGTGTCGTAGAAATGATGGAGTAACAAGGTAGAAACTTGATATCATGCTCTTGTCACCATGACACCCCTATGTCAGCTCTAGACTGCTTATCCCCTATTACTTATGTCTTGTTTAAGCCTCTGTTGTTTTGTTTGTTTTCGTTTGCTTTTTGAGACAGGGTCTCGCTGTGTTCACCCAGACTGGAGTGTAGTGGCATGATCTTGGGTCACTGCACCTCTGGCTCCTGGGTTCAAGCCTCAGCCTCCTGAGTAGCTGGGATTACAGGTGTGCACTACCACAGCCCAGCTAGTTTTTTTGTATTTTTGTTAGAAATGGGGTTTGTTATGTTGTCCAGGCTGGTCTTGAACTCCTGGCCTCCACCTGCCTTGGCCTCCCAAAGTGCTGGGATTACAGAAGTGAGCCACCATGCCCTGCCTTAAAACCACTGTTGTTTTGATTCTGTGTTACAACAGCCAAGCCTGTATCTTGATAGACAAGGGATAAGTATCAAGCAAATACCTGCAGAGAACATGATCAAGAGTACAGGTCATCAGTAAGACTGACAATATCAAGTGTCAGCAAGTATGTAGAGAAGCTGAAACCCTGAGCTAATGCTGTTGGGAATTTAAAATGGAACAGCCACAGTTTGGCAGTTTCTAAAAATTAAACACATACCTGCCATACAACCCAGCACTTCCACTCCTTGGTATCTATTGAAGAGAAATGAAAACGTGTCCACATAAAGACTTATATGTGAATGTTCCCAGCAGCTTTATCCCTAATAGCCCAAACCCAGAAATAATCCAAATGACCATCAACTGGGGAATGGACATAAAAATTGTGGTATATCCATAACATGGAATACTACACAACAATAACAGTGAACGAGTTACAAAAACATGGATGAACCTCAGAATAAAGAGATAAAAGGCCAGGCGTGGTGGCTCACACTTGTAATCCCAGCATTTTGGGAGGCCGAGGTGGGTGGATCACCCGAGGTCAGGAGTTCAAGACCAGGCTGGCCAACATGGTGAAACCCCATCACTACTAAAAATACAAAAAATTAGCCAGGCATTATGGCACATGCCTGTAATCCCAGCTACTTGGGAGGCTGAGGCAGGAATATTGCTTGAACGTGGGAGGCGGAGGTTTCAGTGAGCCGAGATCGTGCCATTGCATTCCAGCCTGGGCAACAAAGCGAGACTTTGTCTCAAAAA